TTCATCCGAAGATACGGGCAGTGGGCAGATCCTGTTGAACGCCCTCCGAATGACTCCCGTAAACGTCTGGATGTCAGCTACCCGACCAATGCCGTCTGTTCCTGGGTGAACAGCCACAACTCGTCCTAGTCTCCACTTCAAAGGAGGAAGATTGTCTTCCTAATCACCACCAAGGTGTTCAGCCTTAAAGCATCTTTGGAGGAGTGCCACTTGGTCCGCACCTGCAGTTCGGATACATACTCCTTGCTCCATCTGCTCCAGAAGTGCTGGCGTAGTTGCTCTATTCTATGAAATCGAGACAGATGGTTCATAGAATGATCCGGTAGTCAGGCTGCGGTAAAGAAGTCAAGGGTCTCCAACAAGAAAATGACCCGGCGTCAGTGGAGTACAATCTACAGGATCTGATGATAATGGCGTTAATGGACGAGAGTTCAAAACCGCTTCAATTTTAGTGAGTGCAGTGTAAAGCTCTTCAAACGTCAAATTACAATTGCCCAACACTCTTTGCAAATGATATTTTGTTGACTTCACTCCTGCCTCCCAGAGTCCGCCGAAATGTGGGGTGTATGCGGGTATAAAATGGAATTTTATTCCATCATTCGCTGCACTTTCACCCAAGGACGAGCTATTAGCCTTTAAAAACTTAGATAAGTCGTTGTACGCACCAACAAACGAGGTACCATTGTCGGAGAATATATTAATTGGTTTACCTCTTCTAGAAATAAATCGATGCAAAGCTAGTAGTAAGTAACTATTGCTAGATAAATCACCAACAAGCTCCAAGTGAATCGCCTTGGTCGTAAAACAAATAAAAATTGCGATATACACCTTTACTAGCCTGCATCCACGGCCTTGACGACTGGCACACATGATAGGCCCGGCGTAATCAACACCAGTGCTCTCAAAGGGATAGCCTGGACGAAGGCGTTCTGAAGGTAAGTTACCCATAATGGGAGTGACGACTTTACCCTTCAAGCGTCGACACAGAACGCAATTATGATAGCATAATCTTGCCAAGTTGCGACCTCCTACTGGCCAGTAAGATTCCCTAATGGAAGCCAGTAATAACTGTGGACCAGCATGCAATAGCCTCCTATGCTCAAATAAATAATAATTTAGTAAAAGGATGAGTGGACTGTATTACAATGGGGTGCCTTTTATTAAAATTAAAATTAGAATTATCGAGACGTCCTCCTACTCGAATGATATTTTTGTTATCTAAATAAACGTTTAACTTGAGAAGGGCGCTCTTCTTAGGTATTTTCTGATTATTTAAAAGTAGTTCATAATCAGGAAATGATTCACGCTGACTTTGTGTGATCACAATATTGAGTGCATCTTGCAACTCATCCTGAGACAAGTAGCTTGTCGCTGCATATTGTTTCCTACATGACTTAATGAATCTTAGTACATAAGCTACAGAACGTAAAACTCGTGAATAATTAGAAAATCGACTAAAATCTATAAAACATGATGTGGGATAAAATAACCAGGACACAGATTAGATTTATTTAATTTAGTCATATGACCAAGCGACTCATATTCTGACATGAAATCACGATACATAACCAGGCTAAACTTTTAATCTACGCTCTAATGACTGTGAACAGTATGTAGCTTTATTTAAGGAATCACCTAGAACCGACGGGTTGTTCTTAAGGGGTATACGAACACAAAACCGACCATCAGATAATCGTGTCGTATTTTTGACAAAATGTTCCTCGCACGATTTCTCTTCTGACATGAAAGAACTCAAAGATTTCGGGTTTACTTCCTCTAGTTGCCAAAATTTGTTAAATCGGTTCTAAGTTTCTGCCAGTCATCATTAATAGGAACAGTTACTACACAGAACAACCACTTAAATTACATTTTAAATTAGTTGAAAATGAAGAACTACAGTTTTGAGTTATTGTACCGGAGACTATCCATCCTAGGCGAGTCTCGAATAACATCGGTTTTCCGGTACCTAAGCTTAATCTTTGCGATCCTAGTAAATCCCAGAAGAGATCAGCACCAATTAAAAAATCTAAATTAGCGGGCTTATAAAAGTTAGGATCAGCTAAAGTAATATCCGGTGGAATATTAAAGTTACTAATATTTATTTCACGACACGGAACATTACTAGTAATGAATGGCAACACAAAACAGTGAAGTTCGAATTTAAAGTCATCATTTAACGATTCTATTTTAAATCGACATTGTTTGCCTACGTTGGACGTGAGATTATTAATACCAAGTATACACCTATTTACCTGGCTAGTTTGTAAGTTTAATTGTCTACATAACCGGTTCGTTATGAATGACGATGTGCTGCCGCTATCGAGTACTGCGCGAACGAGATGCACACAATTATTGCGGTCGCGCACCTTGACCAGAGCGGTTGATAACAACACGTCTTGCTGCATATGACCACTAGAGGATGCAATATGTGCTGATAACGCGATGTTATTTGTCTCAGTGGGAGCAGACGGTAACGAAGACGAGGTAGACAAGTTATTAGCAGTGTTATTATCATTAAGTGTACCCGAAATAGTGCCCCTAAAATCTGTGTGAATCAGTGTGTTATGCCTACGTTTGCATAATTTACAACCTGGCTTCTTGCATTTGTTAGCGTAGTGACCCGAGCGAAAACAATTGTAACAAATTTTATAAATGGGTAGTAATTTAAGTCGAGCATCATTTGTTAAAGCGAGAAACTGTGGACAAGTATTTAGCGTGTGATCAGTGTTGTTACATTTAGGACATACTTTAGAAGTTAATTCTGCGATAGAACTAGTAGGAGACTGTGTAGCTACCATAGACTTAATTTTAGGACCTGTTTTAACTACCGTTTGGGAATTATTTGTGCGAGATATTTCTAATGTCTCGATTAGATCGGCTCGATTACGTAAGAACTGCATAAACACTTCAAATGTAATCGGGCTGGCTTTGTCTAACCTACCTTTACACTCTTCCCACTCACGATACGTCTTTTGATCAAGCTTACGGGCTACAATGTAAATGAGCAGCGTGTCCTACTGCTTTACTGGCTCCCCTAAAGATTCTAAAGCTCGTAAATCCTTATTCAGCTGATCGATTAAACTCTTTAATGCAACAGAAGATTCCTTTGAGAGCGACTCAATATTAAACAGGGCAGATACATGATTTTGTACCAGTAATCTTTTGTTGTCAAATCGATCGCGTAACAACTTCCATGCCACAGAGTAGTTGCTCGACGAGAACTCAACAGATTTAATTACTATCGCAGCAGTACCTTCGAGAGATGCTCTCAGGTAGTGAAATTTGTTGATGTCGTCGATGTCATCATTAGTATGAATGAGACTAGCAAAGGTGTCACGAAATTCTAACCAATTAGAATATATACCGCTAAACTTAGGCAATTGGATCGTAGGTAATTTGACTGGTTTGTGCATGTTACCAGGTGTACTGTTACAGCTTTCCATCGATTTATTATCTTTATTAAAGTCTGTCAAAATATTTTGGGCTCTAGACAGGGAATTATAATAAAGAGACTCGAAATCAGAACGCTCAGAAATTTGTAATTTTATATCGTCGGCCATGCATTCCAGACGCAACTGTACCTCATCATATTGTTCATACAACGACTCGATCTTGCCCATGCGCAATTGCAGTTCAGAAGCATCACAACTAGTTAACGGTTTGTCCTTAAGTGAGTCCAGGAAGTTGACGAAAGCAGTCAAACGGCCTTTGAAGCTTCCTCGCTTTTTGATTAAATCCCTTTCCTCGGACATACTGGAAGACGAGAGTGTAGTCAACCTGAAACTGATACAGATCTACTTGTAATAATGAACAATACAATTTACATATACACCTAACTGTTTTATACACTAATTAACAACCTTTGCAATTAATACAATTAATAATATTGCAAGAAAACCAGTATATAAACCAGAAATCCAATTGTTAACAAAGACAATGTAATTTTATTTTTTAATTGTACAAGTACCTACAATTCTAAGGTTGTAAAAATAAAAACTGATTTGCTATAGAAAAGCCAAAATTTAAGTATTAATTGTTATTTAATACATGTACAACTGATAATAATTCTTTTGATTACTAATAACTTTACTAATTTAAACAATGACTTGCAATAATATCTACACTCGAATGAAATGTATTGCGGGTAAGCTACCTACTCGTGACAATTAACAAGTCCTCTAAAAATGTGATTTAGCTACAGCTTTATGGAAATTAAGCAAAATAATGTAGCAAGGCTAACTATACTATATTAAGTATGAATTTAAACTTAATTAAAACTGTGAAAAATGCTAATCACAAGTAACAAGTACCTAATGACTAATGACTGCAAATTGCACGAACACAATACTATGGTAGATAAATTTATAAAAAATGATACTGGCCTTTTATTCAAGACGACGACCTTATCTTATACTACCTGAGTGTTGGGTGACGATATTATTTAAATTAAATGCTTTACACCGCTAAATCACTGCTTGAGTTTAGTCCAATCCAAAATTGCGATGTCACGCTGGATCCTTATTGCTCGATATCCAATATCCTCTGTTTATATGCGCTGATCTTCTGTATATAATGTATCCGGATCGTAATGGACCATGTATTGGTCAGGGCTTCGCAGGAAAAGACTCAAAAAATACTCAGCAAGTAGGAATTTAATGAGGTGTTAACTCAGCGAGTACAGCACAGCAAGTGAAGAGATTAGCGTCGGTACATACAAAATAAAATAATACAAATACTTAATTGCTAACATTATACTAAGCACACGTCGTTGCTATGGTATATCCATCAGGCGCTCGTACAACAATATTGTACAGTGGCATAATGTGTAACTCTGCCTATCCCTCCGGGTATAAAATGGCATGACATTATGTTAAAAAAAGCGTCACAAGTCTTCTTTTAAGAGCGTAGTATCATTCCGGTCTAGCCGACCCATTCGTGCCAAATATGACCTCCACGTGTAAATGGTGAACGATGCCTTTATTATGATCTTCTTTCTTTCACAGATGGACATATACGTCCAGACAGCGAGTCCTATAGTGGAGCAGGTGCTGAAAGGATACAATGGGACGATCTTCGCGTACGGGCAAACCGGTACAGGCAAGACTTATACCATGGCTGGGAGCAACACCGCGCCGGAGTTACGAGGAATCATTCCTAACTCATTCGCGCATATCTTCAGCCATATTGCTAAGGCTAATGAGGATGAGAAGTGAGTAGTATCAGTTTCTTTTTTTAAAGGGTAAAATCGTCGAATGCGATACTTGCCAACTAGTCAAATTCAATACTTTTTAAAAACGATAGTTTTCTATGAATTCTGTACGAGATTGTGTATTGTGACGTCAAATTCAATACATTTTAAAAACGACAGTTTTCTATGAATTTCGGACGAGATTGTGTATTGTGACGTCACGTTTTTTTAGGGTCAAACATCATACTTATTTCTTAAAAAATTGCTGGAAAATACTAAAATTAAGTTGGTCTTAAAATCAATTAATGAAAGTGTGATTATTTTTTAATATTGTATTGTATTGAACAGTCGAACTAATTTAATTTTGATTAAGACAAGTACCCAATTAGAGGCGAGAGAGAGAGAGAGAGAGAGAAAGAGGTGCATGCTAATTGGCGTTCTATAGAGAAACTAGCGGACCCAACAGACGTTGTCCTGCATATCCACTTGAATGTATAAACAAAAATTCATTCAAATTAGTTCAGCTGTTTAGGATAAATAACCTAAACATCGACTGCAGCGCCATCTGCCGGGCTGATTTGTGAATCTAAACCATTCCCAGATCCCCTTGAACACACACAAAAATTTCATCAAAATCGGTCCAGTCGTTTTAGAGAAGTTCAGTGACATACACATTCACAGAAGAATTAATATAAAGACGTTCAAAAATTTTTAAAAATCGAACGCATATCGAATGTCTTCTCGCAGACATGCCTGGAATGAGCGAATTTTGAGTGGTGTTCTATAGAGCATGTTCAAAAATTTTTAAAAATCGAACGCCTGTCGTCTCGCAGACATACCTAGAATGAGCTAATTTTAAGCAACATTTCGACACATACTACTAACTGACAATTGCTCAATTGAAACATGCTTTCTTTGGTACTTGAAATAATTAGAATGTACAGTCCCTTTAGGCTCTTAACTTTTTAGCCGCCTTGGTATCAATTTGGTCACCCGGGCGGGAAAAGACACTGGATGATTTTCACCCCTCAAAAAAAAAAGTAATTCCAGAGTCCATTCTTTTACCTACTGAAAACAGTGTCCGAACAGGAAAACGACCTTAAAATCACTTGATAGAAAAGACATTCTACCTAGGTAGGTATATGTTCTATATACCTGTTTATCTTCTATATACAAGGTGTTGTTCTAAAGCTGCGTCATTTTCTAGGAGGTAACTCGGATATTGATACTGAGTCCGAATCAATAAAAGAAATTGTAGGTAAATATTATTCATTTTTCTGAAATTACGGAAATCCGTAAGTGCGAAGTACACGCTGCTATCTTGTAACTAGCTTTATAACGCGGCTTAACACACACAAACTCAAACACGTAATTGATATTATTCCTAATTCCATAAAACTCCAATAAGGACCATTGCTGTCGCTTATTCTGAAATACTATCGAACTTAAACAATTTACTATAGCCGTATTTTTAACTATTGGCCCGAAACTTTCTCTTACACTGAACCTTTATGACTTCTATGACATGCCCCCGACAAATGACACGGTTTCAAAACTACACCTTGTTTAAATCGCTGTTCGTTAGTCTTGCTAAAACACGGAAACGACTGAACCGATTTGGCTAATTTTGTTCTTAAATTATTTGTGGAAGTCCTGGGAAGGTTTAAAAGATGAGTAAAAAGAATTGTAGGTGTGCTTGGTCTGCTAGTAATTATATAAAAATGAATCCCATTTTCCCTTGGTCACGGCATCATGCGTGAATGGCTGGACTGATTTCACTAATTCTTTTGTTGTTGCATTTTTTATTATTAGGAGAAGCTTGTAGTAATTGACGTTCCCTAGTCTCTGCCTACCCCCATGGGAGACAGGCGTAAAGTTATGCATGTATGCATGTATGTAGAAGAAGGTTCTTAAGACAGAAAAACATCCTGAAAATCTTATGGTAACGGGAAAAAACGGGATTGCGCGTACGAAGTCGCGGGCAGAAGTTGATAAAATATAAAACTGAATTCAACATAGACATAAATCCACTGAAACAAAGAAAACTGGTACATTAACACACGTCACATCAACGTATCCCATCCAAACACAACATTTTCACCCTTATCTATTCATGTATAAAGTCGATGATACTCTGTGATGTACAACAGCGCACCAGCGTACACCAATACTTGCTTAATAAATTTCCAACCCTATCTCTTGACAATAAGGTTGTAAGTTCCCTGTAAGTCACCACCAACCCCCTCCCCATACATAAGGGATCGATTGACAATCGTGTGCCGCCATCTTGCCGCCGCCGACCCGACGCTGACCTAGTTCCAAGATGCACGGTCCGAACGAAACGAAATATTGTATTATTTTATTTGTATATTTTCCAAATTCGGGTGGAATGTTCTAGGAAGATTTTCTAAGATAAATTATGATTATGGATGACTATTTTAATTTAAAAAAAAGCTACAATAGAATAGGGTAGATGCCTAATTTTTATTTTAATGTCCGTCTGGTAGATTATTTTAAATCATTAGTAACGTGTCTTTTTCTTACAGAAACGAATACTTTCAACGATATATTGATTTAAAAAGTCGCGTGACGTCACTTCTATGAACATTTTATACGTAGAAATGACATTTTAGCCCCCACTCCTAAACTTTGATTCGTTTATCTAAGTATTGTTTCATTACCTAACTGATGGACTAATTATATTTTTAATTTTCATACCCTGTCATCATTCCAATTACAAAATTCATAGGAAAATTGTTTAAAATAGGTTTTAAAACTGTCAAACATCGCGAGGACACCGGTGACCGCAACCTATTGTTCTTTGATTGTGTCTATAATGACGGTCCTCAAAGGGTTAAGATTCCGAACAATATACATACATACATAACTTCACGCCTGTCTCCCATGGGGGTAGGCAGAGACTTGGGCGTAGGCCAATTGCTACGATTCCTCTTTCGCTTCATCAACAGTCATCAAACTTTTCATGCATGCTCGTCGGTTAAGGGTACTTTTAATTTGGCATTTCTTTAATATATCGCCAATCTTGTCAGTATATGTCCGTCTAGGGCGCCCTCTATCTACGGCCCCATTCATGTCCGCTCAGTATACATACTTCTTTCGTTAGTCTACTTTCGTCCATCCTTTCTACATGTCCAAACCCTAACATTCCCTTTTCAATCCTTGTCACTACATTATCTTTCAATCCACACCTTTCTCCAATAACAGTATTTTTCACTCGATTAAGTTTACTCCACACATAGGTCCTCCTCGGGGCTCTCATTACCACCACATTAATTCTGCTTTTTAAATAAATACACTGCCTCGTTGGCCGAGTGGTCGCAAGTGCGACTGCCATGCAAGGGGTCTCGGGTTCGATTCCCAGGTCGGGCATAGCATTACTGCGTTTTAAAAAAAATCTCAGTAGTAGCACGGAGTCTGAAATTGTGCCCGGTATATGGCAATAGGCTCACCCCCTATTACATGGGACTCGTAACATAAATAGTGAAAAGTGGGTGTTACTTCTGTGTGCACCTCTGCCTACCCCTTCGGGGATAAAAGGCGTGATCTTATGTTATGTTATCCTTACTAATATTAAAAATCGGAAAGTGAGTTTGTTTGTTTGTTCCGCTTTAACACCGTAACTACTGAACCGATTGCTTTGAAATTTTGCAGACGTAAAGTTAGAAGTCCGGATTAAATAATAGGGTACTTTTTAACCCGGAAATATTTGATATTCCCGAGGGAAAACAAAAGTATTGGTATAGATGGCGCATGTCACATTGGCTTTTTATCCTTTTGTGACGCGAGCGAAGCCGCGGCTAAAAGCTAGTGTTAAATAAATACATGTCTTAATTTCAGATTCTTAGTATGCGTGACGTACTTGGAGATTTACAACGAGGAAGTCCGCGACCTCCTCGGCAACAACCCTCACCAGAGCCTGGAAGTCAAGGAGCGACCTGACATCGGGGTCTTCGTGAAAGACCTGACAGGTATCCTCTTTGGTCTTATATATCTACAAGTGTTTTATGATATGTTGTATGAGTACGGGAGGCATGCTTCGGCATGAATGGGCCGGGTCGACCGGAGTTATACCACGGCCGAGCTCCAAAGTTGGCGAGGGCAGGGTTGCGTTTAAGCGCATCCTCCCCAACCTTGGGGGGCTAAACGCCTCCTGCCGGAGGTTATACGCCGGGGTCGTGCAGTCCATGGCCTTCTACGGCACCCCTGTGTGGGCGCCGAACCTGTTGCGGAGTCCCGCTCGGACGCTGCTCATGGCACAGAGGGTCACGGCGATCCGAATGATCCACGGATACCGCACGATCTCCGCGGAGTCGGCGACCTGGAGGCGAAGGTGCTCGCGCGCGTGTATCGTATGCGCGCGGAAGCACGTCGCCGGGGCGAAACTCCGCTGCCGCGCCAGATAAGTGCGTGGCGGGATGAGCTCCGGCGCGATCTCATGGCGTAATGGCAGCAATGACTGTCGCAACCGAGGGCTGGGCTTGCTGCTGTTGCAGCGGTAAGTCCCCTCTTTGAGGAGTGGCTTGAGAGACGCTACGGCGCGTCCTCACCTACCGCCTGACGCAGGTCCTCACCGGACATCGAAGTTTCGGGAGGTACCTGTGTCTGATGGGGCGGGAGGAAACGCCCGGGTGTCATCACTGCGAGGACCGCCCTGAGGACACGGTGGAACACATGGTGGGAGAATGTCCTGCGTGGGCTGAGCACCGCCGTGCCCTCAGGGAAGTGATCGGCGATGGCGACCTCTCGTGTCCGGGCCTAGTGTAGGTCATGATGCGGAGCGAGGGGGACTGGGATGCCGTCTCCTCCTTTTGCGTGAGGCAGCGAAGCGCTGCCGCCTCGCAACCCAGCCATCGCGAAGGAGACACCGGGCGTCGGGGATCGCGGGACGATCTCCGGCCACCGTAAGCGCGGGCCTGCGGACGGCAAGCATGGGTGGCTCCCCGTCCGACCAGAAACAGACCCGAGCGTACGGTGCGTCGCGTTCCGCGCGCGCCTCAAAGAGCCATCAGACCACCACAGATGGGCCCTAATAGGGCCGATGCCGATTCGGAGTCGCGGAGAACCTAACGGGTAACCGGGGCTCCGGCTCGACATGCAGGAGAAGGAACGGGATGGTTTTTAGTCAGTAAGAGTCTGACACTCCCTCCCGCCTCACCCAGGCGGGAGCAGTCATTCGATGATTTTCCCCCCTTAAAAAAAAAATACTAGTGAGTGTCGAGGGTGCGTTTAAAATCACACAATTTCACATACACACAAGCTAAAAATTACAATTGTTTGATCACGGCGGCGCACTCACTAGTATAGGGAAACCGTTTTTTGTAAGCTAACACTAACATAATTTTTCACTAAAACGCGGTTGAAGGCGCTGTTAGAAGCTTCGCTGTTTAACCCATACATCCCCAAGCGGTCACCGGTGATCGCTCTCCACTAACCACATTATAGACCTTATTTCAAATGTTTAGAGACTACTTTTGTATGAACTTAGGGGATGTATTTCGACGGGTTAATAAATGTAAATTCCCCAGGCTACGTAGTCCACAATGCGGATGAGTTAGAGAAAATAATGGCAGTCGGTAACAAGAACCGTCACATCGGCGCCACGGCGATGAACACGGAGAGCTCGCGGTCGCACGCCATCTTCTCAATCACCGTCGAGAGCAGCAAGCGAGGCTCTGACAACAAGATGCATGTCAAGATGGGGAAACTACATCTTGTTGATTTGGCTGTAAGTTGTATTTATTTATTTAGTACTTAATGTATGGTCAAAGGTCAAAAGTCCACTGCCACCGTGAGTGATGTTCACACGGCATTGCGTAAGTAATTTCATATTAATGTGCATAAAAACGCACGCGTACGCATAAACACACGCACGCGTACGCACACGGATACAAATATGCGTGTGCATGTGTGTATAAGCGCTGCAGCGCAACCGATAGTAGTCTTACGGTGGTAGTGGACTTTTGACCTTTGACTGTACACACGCCTCTAATGACGATAATGACTGCCTCGTTGGCCGAGTGGTCGCAAGTGCGACTGCCGGGCAAGGGGTGCTCGGGTTCGATTCCCGGGTCGGGCAAAGTATTACTGGGTTTTTAAAAATCTTAGTAGTAGCACGGAGTCTGGAAATGTGCCCGGTATGGCAATATGCTCACCCCGTAATACATGGGACTCATAACGTAAATAGTGAAAAGTGGGTGTTACATTGTACAGTGGCATAATGTGCACCTCTGCCTACCCTTTCGGGGATAAAAAGGCGTGATATTATGTGTTAATGTACACAATTTGATTATAGCACATACAGCAAACTTAATGCCATAATTATGGCATTATCTGCCAGTCAACCTTAGTCTTGTGTTCATGTTTGAAATCCATAACGGAGGTAATATTTAAAACCGTCGTTTTTGACAGTTCGAAAAAAGTATTGAATTTGTGTAGTTTACAAGTACCCAATGCTCACCGTATAATTTTGTACTGATCGGTACCGACCGGCACGTACCAACACGACGAAGTACCAAATCGTAGTGTCCATGTGAAGCTGTAATTTACAAATATTTTCAACTCTACATCCATCCCACAGGGTTCAGAACGGCAAAGCAAGACGCAAGCCACAGGGACTCGATTGAAAGAAGCCACTAAGATCAATCAGTCTCTCTCAGTGCTGGGCAACGTGATCTCAGCGCTGGTCGACGGGAAGTCCACACACATACCGTATAGAAACTCCAAATTGACAAGGCTGTTGCAAGATTCGCTTGGAGGTAACTCTAAGACTGTCATGGTGAGTGTACTTTTACTATCACTACATAGTCTATTCTTTTATAAATTACGTTCAAAAAACCAACTTCAACCCCCCCCCCCCTTGATATACAAGGTGTAGTTTTGAAACCGTGTCATTTCTCGAGGGCATGTCACAGAAGTCATAAAGGTTCAATGTAAGAGAAAATTTTGGGCCAATAGTTAAAAATACGGCTATAGTAAATCGTTTAAGTTCGACAGTATTTTAGAATAAGCGACAGCAATGGTCCTTATTGGAGTTTTATGGAATTAGGAATAATATCAATTACGTGTTTGAGTTTGTGTGTGTTAAGCCGCGTTATAAAGCTAGTTACAAGATAGCAGCGTGTACTTCGCACTTACGGATTTCCGTAATTTCAGAAAAATGAAAAATATTTACCTACAATTTCTTTTATTGATTCGGACTCAGTATCAATATCCGAGTTACCTCCTAGAAAATGACGCAGCTTTAGAACAACACCTTGTATATAGAAGATACACAGGTATATAGAACATATACCTACCTAGGTAGAATGTCTTTACAATTTTTTTTATTGATTCGGACTCAAAATCGATATCCGAGTTACCTCCTAGAAAACAACACCTTGTATAGTACTAAAACCCTTCTCCTAAGTGTAACAAATTAGACTTAGACTAGTGGAATGCATTTGTGTCAGCTTGTAGTTGTCATGCTCACTCAAAGATCTCATTGGCGGTGGCGCGTGCATTGGATCGCTCGATTCCCTACAATATGGTTGAGTTGGGCGGTACTGGGGTACGTGAAATGTTCGTGAACGGGCACCTTCAAATGGGACTGGTCAGCTCCAGACTATTATTTTATTGTCTTTAAGGTTATTTTCTCACACAATCGAACCAATAAAACTACGTAACTAGAGAATTGTATTGTGAACCTGAATGAAAAAGAGTAACCTATGGAGTTTCTTGCTCGTTCTTCTACATAGGAATCTACACCTTGGAACAACTACAGTTGTTGTTTGCCGCTTAAAATACGTGACGTCACAATACACAATCTTTTACAAAATTCATAGAAAACTATCGTTTTTGACAGTTCGAAAAAAGTATTGAATTTGACTAGTTGGCATGTACCCGATTATAATTAACTTTTACATTTTATTCCAGATAGCAACAATAGGACCAGCGGACACGAATTACGTGGAAACTATAAGCACGCTGCGCTATGCCAACCGAGCGAAGAATATTGAAAATAAGACGCATGTCAACAGCGAGCCGGGAGACGCACTGCTTACTAGGTACGACTTACTAAGTCAATACACTAGGGGACTGCCTGATTCTATACGCTGTCGTTATCAGGATAAATTTAATGTACCTAACTAATGAGCCTAAACTCGATAGATTTGTCGCGGAGAACCTAACGGGTTACCAGGTCTCCGGCTCGACGTGCAGGAGAAGTCATTCGATGATTTTCCCCCCAAAAAAAAACTCAATATATTTACTAGTTACTAGTACGGAGTCCAAGGTTTCATCAGGGAAGACTGGGATGTCGTTTCCTCCTTTTGCGAAACAGTAATGCTAGCTAAGGAGTAGGTGGGACGTGTGAGGCAGCGAGGCGCTACCTCCTCACGACCTAGCTGTTGCGAAGAACACTCCGGGCGTCGGGGATCACGGGACGATCTCCGGCCACCCGACGAGAACTAGACCTACAGCTCAAAGAGCCATCAGACCTTCATGAATGGGGCCCAATAGGACTGATGTCGATACGAAGCCGCGGAAGACTTAACGGGTGGCCGGGACTCCGGCTCGAAGTGCAGGAGTAGGAACGGGGTGGATTTTAGTCAGTAACAGTCCGACTGCCTCGATGGCCGAGTTGTCGCAAGTGCGACTGTCGGGCAAGGGGTCTTGGGCAAAGTATTACTGGGTTTTTAAAAAAAAAGCTCAGTAGTAGCACGGAGTCTGGAAACGTGCCCGGTGTATGGCAATAGACTCACCCCCTATCACATGGGACTCATAACATAAATAGTGAAAAGTGGGTGTTACTTCTGTGTGCACCTTGCCTCTGCCTACCCCTTCGGGGATGAAAGGCGTGATGTTATGTTATGTTAGAGTCTGACACTGCCTCCCGCCTCACCCAGGCGGGAGAAGTCATTCGATAATTTTCCCCACTTAAAAAAAGATTTCATCAGCCAGGAGCTTCCAATGTTCCGTTAGACCAGCTCGATGGCACCATAATATTGTATTGAAATCTAATCTACATACAATTGCCAGGTTTCATGATGGTACAACAATTAGAAGTGTGTGTATTTCACATTCATAGATTTTGTTACATTGTTCGTTACAGATCGACTCAATTAAATCTTAAATATTTTTATCTTTACAGATTCCAACAAGAGATTGATCAGCTCAAGAAACAACTGGATGAGTGTACCAATGGTGAGTGTTAAATTACATTCAACAAATTCCGTTTTTTAAGCAACGATACTACTCACAACGTGGTCTCGTGGTGGCCCGGAGGTTGAAGACGCCTGCTTCTCACGCACGGTGCGGGCTCGAAACCTACCAACGGCAAGTACCAATGTGACTTTTTCCGAGTTACATGTACTTTCTAAGATTATTCAGACACCACTGACCAACGGTGAAGGAAAACATCGTGAGGAAACCTGGACTTGAAATTGCCAACCCGCATTGAGCAAGCGTGGTGATTAATGCTCAAACCTTCTCGGTGTTAGAAGAGGCTTTGCGTAGCAGTGGGCATTTATAGGCTGTTGGTGATGATGACTTCTCACAACATTGCATTGTGAATTGGATGTATTTATTTATAGTGTGGGGTATCAAAGACACTTTTCATGGTTATATTTATATATTACAATTATCATGAGACATAATAAATTATATATTATGTTTTCGGCTTACTTACGTAACTGTTTCACTAGGAACTCGATTAGTTTCAAGCCATGCTAGAGAATCATATTCATGAGTAGCATTTCGCGATACACTGCCATGTTGATTCAGCAGTAGCAATCGCCGCGTCGTATAATAATTGATACTTGTCATATTTCATACAAATTAACTCATAAATACATACAATTAGGTACTTGCCATCTAGTCAAATTCAATACGTTTTTCGAACTGTCACAAACGACAGTTTTCTATGAATTTTGTACGAGATTGTGTATTGTGACGTCACGTTTTTATAGCGTCAAACAGCGTAATTGATTCTTAAAAATTTACTGGAATAATACTAAAATTAAGTTGGTCATAAAATCAATAAATGAAAGTGTGATTATTTTTTTATTATTTTATTGTATTGAACAGTCGAAATATATATTTTTTTTTGATTAAGGAAAACCTTCGAGTAACGTATTCTTTCATCATACAATAATAAAAATGCTGAGAAATCATCCATTATCAGTTATAATATTAGATCTTTATTTCTTCTCTTTAGAAGAAGAAGAAGTGGAGGAAGAGGGAGAAGGAGAGTTATCGGAGGAGGACTTGTCAGACGACACACTTACTGACCCGGAGGCCGACGTGTTGGACCCGACAGAGAAGAAAATCAGACGCAAGCTCAGGAGGGAAGAAAAGGTAGGCATAGTTATTATAGAATAGAATATAATAAAGAATAGAATAGAATAACATAAAATTATCTATTTGTATACTCATTGGCCGAGTGGTCGAAAGTGCGACTGCTGGGCAAGGGTTCGATTCCCTGGTCGGGCAAAGTATACCTGGATTTTTTTTAGCACCGAGTCTGGAATTGTGCCCGGTATATGGCAATAGGCTCACCCCCTATTACATGGGACTCATAACATAAAAAGTGAAAAGTTGGTGTTACATTGTACCTCTATAGTGGCATTAGTACCGTAATGTGCACCTCTGCCTACGCCTTCGGGGATAAAAGGCGTGGTGTTATGTTATATTACTTCTACAGTCTGTGAAAGTCCAGAGAAGAACTATAAACCTTCTCTATATACAACATGTAACGTAATTAACGCACACCCTCAAACACCCTAATTAGAATATTATGTTATAATTATAATTCATACACTAAATTTTTAATTTAACATGTATATGCAACCTTACTGGTCTTGTCATAAGGTTTATTTTTCTTTATCAACCGACTTCAAAAAAAGGAGGAGGTTCTCAATTCGACCCGTATGTTTTTTTTTTTTTTTTTCTATATTTGTTACGCGATTACTCCGCCAATTATGAACCGATTTGAAAAATTCTTTTTTCGGCGTATAGGTAATACCTCAAGGTTGGTCCCATTTAAATTTACTAATAAAAATAACAACCCCCAAGGGTGGAAAATAGGGGATGAATTTATTTATACGCAAATAACTCCGCCGATTTTAAACCAATTTGAACGATCACTCTCCTTTAATATATTTTTAGCATTTCTTTCTCTACTTTCTTTTAAACGCACTTCCCTTTCTTCTTTTGTTTCCTCCAAACGGCGCTGTCTCATTAAGGCTGCGCGTTTAGTAGGCCTACCCATATTAAATGCACTAAGGGTATCTACAAAAAAGTAACACTAAAAATTTTAAAATAAAATAATTAACTTTTTAAAAAAAATAAAACCGACTTCAAATGCGAGAACACAAAAAAAAAACTAAAAATTAAAAAATAATTCCTAATACCTATTACCTAATACTATAATTTTTCTAAACTATATCAAAGTAATTAAAGTTAAACCATCTAAATATCTTAAAATAGTTATACTTATATACCTACCTATTGTTTTTTGGAGTCGGTGCCAGTAATAAATGAATATTAAACCTAATGAAATAAGAAAAAGTACTCAATGAAACAAAAATATTAAGAAATAAGTTGTATGTAGCCTGGTACAACTAAACCTATACCAACAAAGAATAACAAATACCTACAAATCCTACAATAGAATACAACAAACAAAAAAGAAAGCAATAATTTGAAATATTGCGCATCCGAAAATTCAGTATTTTTGACACGAGCGTCAACGTAGTCTGCCCTCAAGCGTCTGCCCGCCTTCGGGTCGCTTACTCGAGCAAGACCGCACGCGCCCGCGTCCCCCGCCGCACCGCGCGGCCCCGCCTCGCGCCATGCGTCCCCCGCCACCGCGTCGCACGTCTCTAGTTCGCGGGTAAACTTTAATACGCTGGCACTGGCACCGACTCCAAAAAACAATAGGTAGGTATATAAGTATAACTATTTTAAGATATTTAGATGGTTTAACTTTAATTACTTTGATATAGTTTAGAAAAATTATAGTATTAGGTAATAGGTATTAGGAATTATTTTTTAATTTTTAGTTTTTTTTTGTGTTCTCGCATTTGAAGTCGGTTTTATTTTTTTTAAAAAGTTAATTTTGTATTGAATGATAGAATTTGTATGAATACAAATAAAACTGCGATTTTAAAAGTCTTATTGCTTTGACTTACGGTCCATTTCGATTTGTTTTAACAATACAGGGTTAATGTGACAATGATTTCCATAGTTTTAATTATTTTTGGGATAAAAAATTACCTATACTAAAAATTATATAAATCGATTCAGTTAACGATTCTGAACAAACTATTTTCAGGATGTGCGTTATTTAAGTTACATGTTATAGAGGGTTTATCATAATTAAGTAAAATCGCGGGTTACTCACGTGAATATACTGAGAAAAGCTCTACTAGTTTCGAACCTTATGAGGAAGAACCCCTCTGTGGTTCGAAACTAGTAGAGCTTTTCTCAGTATATTCACGTGAGTAACCCGCGTTTTTACTTAATTTAGTATGTCTCACGAGGTTTATCATAATCCCCAATTTTGAAGTGTATTAACCAAAATATGTTTACAGGAGAAGTTGAACCGAGAGAAGGCTTATCTCGCACGGAAGGTGCTAGAAGAGAAGAAAGCAGAATTGCAGAGAACTAAGTGAGTGCTTTACATTCTTTGTCACCTTTTTTGTGGGGGGATCATCCAATGACTTGTACCGTCGTGGATGAGGAGAGGGAGTGTCGGACTCTTACTGACTTAACACCACCCCGTTCCCTACTCCTGCTTTGTGTCAGGCCGCGGTAACAAATTGCGCTTTATCCGCAAATACAGCACTTGACAACTAAAATTCAATACTTTTATCGATACGTCAAAAACGATACTGTTTTATGTATTTTGTACGAAATACCATCTTATGTCGTCATCATATTTTCGCGTCAAATAGCACACTTATATCTAAAAAAATGCTGGAATAAATCGAAAATTAAGTATATCGGCAAATCAATGAATGAAAGTGTAACTGTTTTTCAATATTTAATTGGACTGAAAAATTAAAATAATTTATTTTTGACACAGGAAACTACCGAATTGTCTTATTTTGTGGTCACTATATATTACTCGCTGATACGGCAAACTTTGTAACCTAGTAGGTATAAACCTACTCAAACATTTTTATTTCTCACCCTTAAATGCTTCTCTGGACTTCCACAATTGAGAACAAAATTAGACAAATCGGTCCAGCAGTTTTCGAGTTTTAGCGAAACTACGACAAACTGGAATTGATTTCTATGTTTATAAGATTGTAAAGAAATAAAAATAATTTATTTGCTATTAGCGTGTGGCACCAAATACAATAACATAAAATAGTAAGCTCAAAGTACAATTAAAAACACAACAAAAAAAAATAACAAGATGGCCACATGTCCATGACAAAAAGGCTTGCCAACTCAGTATGAGCTGTAAGTTATCTCTTTAATTCATTCATATTATTCAGATATAAAAAATACTATAAAAACTTAAAATTCTTTATTCAGAAAACAACAAGAAGAGCTAAAAGACAAGCTGCAACGTCTAGAGTCCAAGGTGCTGGTGGGCGGCGAGAACTTGCTGGACAAGGCGGACGCTCAGCGGCGGCTACTGGAGCAGGCTGCCAGGGAACTGGAGCTGAGGAGACTCAACGAGCTCAGGCTGCAGGAGGACTTGCAGAAGAAAGAGGTGAAATAGTATTTTTTAATACCCTTAGGACCAATTTTTAATCATCAGCTCGTACACAATCAATTGATATAAATCCCAATTTCTTACTGATCACGGAGCAAATGGTTCTTATTTAAACTTGTTGATTCACCATGGTGCCAGTGTTCGACAGCGGAGCTGCAATACGAGCAGTCCGCATACTCTGGGAATGTGATCTTTGACAATATGAACGTAACACTGCGTTGTGGAATCTAGAACAAATTTCCGTACGTACAGGCGCTTTTGCCATACCTATTATTTTTGGAAGCAAGTATAACAGCTCACACACAGGACCCACTTAGTTTTTAGTCAAATTTCCGTGGTGCTTGGCGACTGGGCTTCACCCAGTTGTACAGTTTCTTCTTTGTGCCTTTAGGCTTAATTCATTGTTGTCTCCTGTAGTAATTCTCCGAGGGAAGGGGAACCTATCGTTTTTTTTCTTCTCCTCTTATAATCTCTTCTAATTCACTTCGTTGCGGAACCCAAGACAGTTATTCATCACCAGACTTCAGTGATCCGGTGTTTTCATGGTTGTATCTACTGTAGACCCTGGCTTACAGGAGTTGCATCGGTTTTGGGAGGTTGTGGCGGCCGTGTCCCAATTAAAAAAAAAATATAAATCCCCAAAATTTGTTCATAGAAAAGTAGTCTCTAAATATCGGAAATAAGATCTATAATAGAGTAAGTGGAGAGCGGTTGGGTGACCGCTGGGGGATTAATTATTCTTTTGATGTCGAACCTGAGACTAGAGGGGCTGCCAACCGGCCGGTCTGAAATGAAAGTCTGAAAGTCATTGGGGAATATCTACATATATGAAGCAGTCCACATCTTGTATCTGGTTATGATATGATGGATTAGTCCTCATGCCATGGTTATGCTAACTAAACAATGTATTACCAATAGGGTAAATGCCTAATTTTTATTTTAATGTCCGTCTGGTAGATTATTTTAAAACATTAGACACATATTTTTTAATATCTTACAGAAACGAATGCTTTCAACGATATATTGATTTGAAATGTCGCGTGACGTCACTTTTTGAAGGAAATAACGTTTTAGCTCCCACTCCTAAACTTTGATTCGTTTTATCTAACTAATATTTCATTATACGACAATTTAAAAAAATACGTGTCTAATATTTTTTCATTATCTAACTGACGGACTAATTAGATTTTTAATTTTCATATTTTAATACCCCGTTATTATCTCTATTCTAGGCTGAACGTCTAGACTTAGAAGAAAGATACTCAAGTCTCCAAGAGGAAAATGCAGCGAAGACTCGCAAGTTGAAGCGAGCCGTGCAACTCTTGAACTCTGCGAAGGCCGAACTGGCTGACCAGCAGAGGGAGCAACAGAGGGAGATGGAGGGCATACTGGACAGTGTGAGGGCACTGAAGAGGGAAATACAACTCGCTGATCTTGTATTGGATTCTTATATTCCTAAGGAGTATCAGGTATGTATGGCTTGTAGGAAGAATAAATTTGAATTGAAAAGTTTTTAGCAGTTAATAAAGTCAAAACATAAACATAATATAACATCACGCCTTTTAACCGAAGGGGCAGGCAGAGATGTAACACCCACTTTTCACTATTTATGTTATTGAGTCCCATGTAATAGGAGGTGAGCCTATTGCCATATACCAGGCACATTTCCAGGCTCCGTGCTACTACTGAGGTTTTTACAAACCCAGTAATACTTTGTCCGATCCGGGAATCGAAACCGAGGCCCCTTGCCCGGCAGTCGCACTTTCAACCACTCGGCCAATGAGGCAGTCAGAGCAGCAGTAAATTATTTTTCTTAATTTCTTATTTGCTTTTCGGAACCATTATTATCTTTACTAATATTATAAATCGGAAAGTGAGTTTGTTTGTTTGTTCCGACTTCATGCCGTAACTACTAAACCGATTGCATTGAATTTTTGTAAGAAGTCTGGATTAAATGATATTCCCGAGGGAAAACAAAAGTATTGGTATAGATGGCGCTGTATGTATTGGTATATGTCACATCATATCATCACTTTTTACCGACTTCAAAAAAAGGAGGAGGTACTATGTTCGGCTGATTGTTTTTTTTTTTTTTTTTTTTTTTTGTTTGTTCGCGCAGTACTCCGCCGTTTGTGGACCGATTTCGAAAATTTTTGTTTTGTTTGAAAGGGTATACTCCCGAGATGGTCCCATTTCCATGAAGTCAGGATCTGATGATGAGATCCTAGGGAAACCGAGGGGAACTTTCGAAAATTCTATGGAGGAGTAATGCGTCTATTATGTTTTTCAATTACCATTTTTAAACACTACAATTTCATATGGGTTTGGAGTCGACCTGATGATGGAGTCGACAGACAGTCGAGGGAACTCCTCAGCGGTTTATATTAACTACCTTGTGTTTGGGCTTGATTAATTTGTATTGATGAGGACTTTACACCTAGATACAGTGGGGCTGTTATTAAGGGTCTGATGATGAAGAAGTGTAATTGGTAAGGGAACTCCTCAACGGTATACAGTAACTACCTTGTGTTTGGGCTTGTATAATTTGTATTGATTAGAACTTTGCACCTATATATACTATAAGTAACAAAACGGGTATATGTAGCTTTACACTGAAAATTATAAAATAATAAAATAAAAACTGCGTTTAAAAAACCGACTTCAAAAAACCAAAAACCAAAAACTAATAACAAACAAAAAGTCAAATCTAAAAAGCAAAAAATAACTATAATTAGTACTGATAGGTTACCCCCCCACTGATAGGTTAGAAGTCGGTGCCATGAGCTCATATCATAATGATATAACTTAATGTCCACAAAATTGTGAATAAGGTACCTATTAAGGTTTTAATGAATAATTTTGTATTGAACTTATGGCACCGACTTCTTACCTATCAGTGGGGGGGTAACCTATCAGTACTAATTATAGTTATTTTTTGCTTTTTAGATTTGACTTTTTGTTTGTTATTAGTTTTTGGTTTTTGGTTTTTTGAAGTCGGTTTTTTTATCCTTTTGTGACGCGAGCGAAGCCGCGGGTAAAAGCTAGTTATCTAGTAGCTCCATTATATTTATTGTTGTGTACAGGCGCTGATAGACCAGTACGTGCACTGGAACGAGCAGTTGGGCGAGTGGCAAGTGAAGTGCGTCGCGTACACCGGGAACAACATGAGCGCGCCGCATCACTCCGCCACACAGCCGCACTCCAAACATGTACGTCTTTCATATACTCTTAGTTTCTTTTTTTTTTTTAAACGTTGCCCCACATTAGGATTTTCTCCTGTGTCGTGGGTGCGTTTTACAAACATACAAGTTCACATACACATGACACCCAGACCCGAAACAACAATCTGTGGATCGCACAAAGTGTTGTTCCGTGCGGGAATCGAACCCGCGACACGTGGCACGGCAGCCGGTTGCCCAGCCACCGCACCAACCGTGCAGTCACTCTTGAAACCAATCTCAATGTCAATGCTATACAATAAAAAAATCTCAATTATTATTCAATGTCAAAACTATACAACCTCTATCGTAGCTGTTGAAATAGCATTCAGAGTACGGAATATAAAGCTAAACTCAATACCATTTAGTTCATTCATTCAATGCCTGTCAATTCAATCCACGCAATGCGCAAACGATCTTACATTTAATTTACCGGATAAGCCGATAAACGAGCAGTCGGATCACCTGATAGTAAGCAATCGGCATCGCCCATGGACACCCGGAACACTAGATGCGTGTTCCCGGGTGCGTGACAAGTGCGTTACCGGCCTTTTGGGGATTAGGAATTCGAGGATTGTTGGGGATTCAAGGATTGGGGCGATTGGGGAAGGGGGGGGGGCAATTGTGCCTCAGATAACCTCACTCACACATGTGTCTTTGACGACGTGTCGGTTTTCTGCTCGGCCGTGGTATCACTCCGGTCGAGCCGGCCCATTCGTGCCGAAGCATGGCTCTTCCGCACCTAAAAACTGTATGCTACTTTTTATCCTGATAACGCGGACGAAAATGTTGGCAGAAACTAGTGAAACATAATGGTATTAAATAGGTTACAATGAAAGAACTGGATACACAACAATAAGAACACAAAGAAGGCTCTATTGTCTCTATTGTTGGGCAGTATTTCTTGCTTAAAAAGAGTTCAATGAAGGCCTTTATTTTTCCAGATTGAGCCCCCGGACTTATCAGACCGCTACCTATCGTACGGCGCAGTGAGCAGTCGGCCCGGCACCCGCCTGGCCAGACCTCACACCTCCGCCGTGCCACGCCCTCACACTGCACTGCGACAGAGGCAGTAGATATGTTATTGATGAAACATTAACATCCCATGCACTGTTAACATGGTTGACGTGTTAACAATAGAATATTCGTGATTATTTTTTATGATCTCTTAATATCTTGCTTTAGTTTAGTCACAAATACGACTTAAGGTTGCTCGCTTAACACGCACGGCTCAACCACGGCTCCGGCCCCTTTTTGCTTTGGAAGCAATACAACGCGGCATCGGCGTCGGCGGCGTGCTTACAGCTTCTTATATTGACGTTATGAAATATGTCAAATAATATAATAAATTTATTTATTCAGATAACTGATATCCATCAATCTAATAGTACAGGAAGAACACAATCATACATAACTATATAACTAATTTTTTTTAAGGGGGGAAAATCATGGAATTAGTGCTCCCGACTGGGTGAGGCGGGAGGGAGTGTCAGACTCTTACTGACTAAAAACCACCCCGTTCCTTCTCTTGCACGTCGAGCCGGAGCCCCGGTTACCCGTTAGGTTCTCCGCGACAACTATATAACTATTTAGGTACAATATTAATAAGCAATAGTAAACAGGGACTTAGTCCGCTGCACTAATTTCCACATGAATGGACAGTCATATCTATCGGCTATAGCAGTCAGGATACTGTGACGACTTCCACGCAGGCGATAGATGAGCGATACAGTCTTTTTGCACCATAAAGCAGCGAATCCATCAGTGTGAGCATCAGCGAACATTGCTGACGCACTACAGAAACGTGGAAGCCGCAACAGTGCCCAGAGTGCCAAGCACGAATAACTATCGCATTCGTATCGTAACAGTATCGAGCGCGTTCGGCGCTCTGATTGGCCGGCTCAAGTGAACCAACCAATCAGAACGCTTAACGCGCTCGATACTGTTACGATACGAATGCGATAGTTATTCGTGCTTGGCCCTCGGAACGCATTATTATACTGGATCCGATGACATACGTATTAAAGTTCATATTTAAATGACAAGTTAATGGGGATGATGACAGGGTATGAAAATTAAAAATATAATTAGTCCGTAAGTTAGGTAATGAAAAAATATTAGACACGTATTTTTTTATTTTGTCGTATAATAAAACAATACTTAGATAAAACGAATCAAAGTTTAGGAGTGGGGGCTAAAACGTCATTTCTTAGTATAAAATGTACTGAGAAGTGACGTCACGCGACATTTCAAATCAATATATCTTCGAAACTATTCGTTTCTGTGAGAAAAGATAAAATACGTGTCTAATGTTTTTAAATAATCTACCAGACGGACATTAAAATAAAAATTAGTCATCTACCCTATTGCTGGATTGGAGCCGTGCCGGGGTCGTGCTTCTTAGGTGTACCTTTAGTTTGTTTCGCACGACTTTTTGATTCGAAGATGCACGTTTTTTTAATAGCATCATTAGAAAAGTATTGTAATAACTACTTACTAAGATTTGTTTGCATTATATTAATATTGCGAGTAGAAAATCTAAAAAAGCAAAAAAATATTATAAAAATTGAGAATAATATGTAACCTAGGCTTACATAGGTAGAATTGGGTACTTGCCAACTAGTTAAATTTTCGAACTATAAAGAACGACAGTTTTCTATGATGTTTGTCCGAGATTGTGTATTGTGACGTCACGTTTTTTAGCGTCAAACAGCGTACTTATTTCTTGAAAATTTGCTGGTAAAATACTAAAATTAAGTTGGTCATAAAATCAATTAATGAATGCGTGATTATTTTTTAATATTTTATTGTATTGAACAGTCGAAATAATTTATTTTTGATTTTGTAAAGTACCCAATTATATGCACTAAGTTTTTTTTTTGTTGGCGTTTATCAGTATTTTGAAAACTGTGGAAAATACTAGAACTTAATTCAAAATTAACTCGTCGAGTACCGTATTTACAGACACAATTAAAGAACAATAGGTTGCGGTCACCGGTGACCGCTTGGTGTTTGACAGTTTAAATCAGTTAACCCGTTGAAAATCATCCGTAAATTTGTTCATACAATAGTAGCCTCTAAACATTGGAAATAAGGTCTATAATGGGTTAAAGAAATTATCATAAATATACAAGCTTCTATTTAACTTGCATTGTATGCTAAGGAGTGGAATTCTTTGCCAGAGTCTGTATTTCCTGAATGGTATACCTGGGTGTTTCCAAGGCCCGAGTGAATAGGTTGCTTATGTAGGCTCCATCGTAGGCATCATCGGTTACCACCAGGCGAGATAGTGGTCAAACGTCGGCCCATCAAATATAAAAAAAAATTCCTAAAAATCGCGGGTTACTCACGTGAATATACTGAAAAAAGCTCTACTAGTTTCGAACCACAGAGGGGTTCTTCCTCATGAGCAGCGCGGTCGCGGCGATGGCGCTCGCATCGGTGTTGCTACTTGCGCTGCGAGCATAACGCGCCCTCTGCCGGACACCACGAGCGTTTGCTTTCAACTCCGGCGGCGGTGCGCTGGACGATATACTATATAACACGGTATAGTATATTCACGTAATTACCCCGCGATTTTTAGTTAATTTCGTATGTCTCATGATAGTTATTATAAAAAAAAATGAGTGTGAAGTGCTATCTTGCAACTGAATTTTGAAGCAGATATCTTCAACCCATTGAACTGAAATTTTGTATACACGTTTAGTTTGTATGACCATTAATGTTAAACGTAAATTATAAAGTCTTGTTTCAAAATGTTTCAAAATGACTGCCTCGTTGGCCGAGTGGTCGTAAGTGCGACTGCCGGGCAAGGGGTCTCGGGTTCGATTCCCGGGTCGGGCAAAGTATTACTGGGTTTTTTAAATATTCTCAGTAGTACATAGCACGGAGTCTGGAATTGTGCCCGGTATATGGCAATAGGCTCACCCCCTATTACATGGGACTCATAACATAAATAGTGAAAAGTGGGTGTTACATTGTACAGTGGTATAATGTGCACCTCTGCCTACCCCTACGGGGATAAAAAGGCGTGATGTTATGTTATGTGTTACAAAATGTTTGTGATTTGATTTTTTGGAAACTGATATGTATTAGAGGTTAATATCAATATTTTTTATTATAGACGCTGTATTTTTAACCTAGCAAACATCTCAATTTATCTTGTCTAGAACATTATAAAGGATGACGGGCAGAATGTACCGACCGACCAATAGCAACCAGGGTGCTTACTCTTGAAACCAATCTCAATGTCAATCCAATAAAATCTCAATAATTATTCTGTCTTGGTTCCCGCAAGTGTATCAGAATATATTATAAGAGGAGAAGAAAAAAAACGATAGTTTCCACTTTCCTCAGTGAATTACTGTAGGAGACAGAGTGAATTAAGCCTAAAGGCACAAAAGAGACTGAACAACTGGGTGAAGTCCAGTCGCCAAGCACCACGGAAATTTGACTGAAAACTAAGTGGGCCCTATGTGTGAGCTGAATAAAATGTATAACGATTAAGATCAAAAGTCAGTGGTTCCGGATGGCTATAATATAATGGTTCTGGTATGTTATTGGTAGGTACACTCCCCATTTTTTTTTTAAGGGGGGAGTATCATCGAATGACTGTTCCCGCCTGGGTGAGGCGGGAGGGAGTGTCAGACTCTTACTGACTAAAAACCACCCCGTTCCTACTCCTGCACGTCGAGCCGGAGCCCCTGTTACCCGTTAGGTTCTCCGCGACAGGTACACTCTCCATACATGTTTGCCCGTCGTCCATTTACGAATTTTTGTTTTTTTTTCTAGTATTTTATAAATGCTCCCAAAAAGAATTTATTTGAAACGAAATTATTGTATTTAGAAAGTATTGTTTTATTTTATTTTTTATCTAGTGATATTACTTTTTTAAATCTAACTGCTATTAGCATAATTTTATATTTTTTAATACATACCTACGTACTCAATTGTGATAAAAAAATATGTTTTTACAATGAATTTCTTTAAATTAATATTTTTTATTAGTATTATTAATTTTGGCAGCTAAAGTTATGTTGTATTCTTAATTTAATATTTGAAGAAGGTAGTTTCGACCAGTACCATCGTAACGAGTACGCGTTCGGCGCTCTGATTGGCAGTGAACCAACCAATCAGAACGCTCAACTCGCTCGGTACTGTCACGATACGAATGCGATAGTTATTCGTGCTTGGCACTCTGAACGCGTACTCGTTACGAATACTTTAAACTTAAATTAAATTCGTACTAAAGCCTCTGAGTGCGTAGTACGGTTTTGATTTACATTTAAAGTACTCGAATCGAGACCGCGTTCGAAGCTGTGATTGGTTGGTTCATTTGAGCCGACCAATCAGAGCGCCTAACACGGGCTTTAATTGTGACTACGGAAACTACCAAATGAAGGCTAACGTTTTTTTGCTCACACCATGGCGCAAATGTAGCTAGGGGTTTTTTGTCCTATCACAGGCAGCTGTCGAATATATATATATATATATATAGACAGGCAGCTGTCGAATATATAATATATATATATTCGACAGCTGCCTGTCTATATATATATATATAAATATCCAATGGTCTATTACCTCATTTTTAAAACATTGCCCCACACTCTAAAATGTTCTCCTGTGTCGTGGGTGCGTTAATGTCAAGTCAAGTCAAAGCATTTATTTCAATTAAACCATAGATTGGTACGTTTACAAACATACCAGTTCAGATACACATCACACCCAAACCCGGAACCTGTGGATCACACAAACAGTTGTTCCGTGCGGGAATCGAATCAGTGACACGTTGCGCGGCAGCCAGTTGCCTAGTCAAATTCAATACTTTTTTCGAACTGTCAAAAACGACAATTTTCTATGAATTTCGTACGATATTCTGTATTGTGACGTCACGTTATTTTAGCGGCAAACAGCATACTCATTTTTTAAAAATTTGCTGGAAAAATACTAAAATTAAATTGGTCATAAAATCAATTAATGAAAGTGTGATATTTTTCTATATTTTATTGTATTGAACACAATTTATTTTTGATTAAGAAAAGTACCCAATTATCAGATTAACTAATTCTCTATT